AAAAACATGGCCAAAATCTAAGAACCCTCAAATTCCTTTCCGGTTTTCGCCTCTTCACTTTAGCCGTGCTCTCCACTCCTCCACATAGATGACCAGCCGAGGCTGACTCCTTTCCTCCGCCTGTTTTTGGCTCCAACTCCCCGCGTGGAGCTTCTCCCCCGGCAGGTGGTTTTTGAGGGGTTTGCTGACGAATCAACGGTGGTGATGGGTTTGTTGGCTTCGCTCGTCGCCATCACGGCGATAAGAGCTTAGGCCGGCGCTGCCATCTGCCTTATATTTCCTCCATTTCTGTGGGCTGGGGATGAGCGATTTCCTCCGGATGGGCTCTTTCGTTTTTCGGTTGGAGATGATTCTTGAAGTCATAGTTGTTTTCTAGACTGTAAATATATGTGCTTATTTATAAAGTCCATAATTTTTTTTTTTAAAAAAAAAAGTTAATTGGTAGTCCCAATATTATTATTACCAGCGTGTTTAACACTTGTGGTCCACTATAGCTATTCATCAAATGCATCATTTAGTTACAAAAAGTTCTCTTTGAATGACTGAGGTTACAAAACTAATTAAAATCTTGCCTGATAAACCAATGGACAAAAACTTGGTAATTAAAATAAAAAAGACGACAACTACATTGTCTAGTACTAGCTGGAACACGGAGTTCATTGCTTCAAGCTGAGAGTCGAACGCCATTAAATTGACTAAAGAAGATTAACAAAAATGGTTAAGAAAACGTCTTCCCGAATTAATAATGTTCGTCCACTTGATAGCGCTAAAACACCAGTCGCGCGGCCGATGAAGATCAAGAGAGCACGGTTGGTGTCAATCTCATCTCGCTCGAATGCAAAATAAAACGCGATGACACAACAAGGTTCTCACACCAGTCTTTATATTGTTCCATTTGGTCGCATGTTAAATGAAGATGTTTTCCTTCAACTTCCCGATGCTTTTTCTATATTGTAAGCAAAAACCTCGTTAGTACATGGTTGTAAAGAGTATGGATACAACTATAATCATTTTATCCACTTCCGTTGGAATTAATTTCAACTGTAATCATTTTATCCACTCAAACATGTTGGGGGGTTTTGTTAGGAACGTCTAATTTCATGCAAGTCACAGATCTAACTCTACGAAAATAAGCCTAACACGCAGTGGATTATAGATTGGTTTGAACACTCACGGTTTAAATTTGATAAAAATCAATTCTTATTGTGAATCAATTAGTAAATATTGTCATAAGGCTGAGCATGAGACTCAGAGAATTCTAAACCGTTCCGAAAACCGAACCGAAATCACCCCGAACCAAAAACTAACCGTTGACTGTTTGAATTTCTCTGAACCGAACCGAATCGAAAAAATAATTGGTACGGTTCTGGAGATTTCACAAATATCCGTACCGAGAACCGAACCGAACCGTCTCATACTATACCGAACCGAAGAACTGAATTATAACATTAGATGTGTTATTAATATATTTTATGTCAACTTTGATTCTATATAATATAGTAATAAATATTTACCTTCACTTAAATTTCATGCTTAGTAATACTTGAAATTTTTTCTATTATAAAATAATTATTTAAATAATATGAAAGTTTAAAGAATATTTTTTTAAGAAAAAATATTATATTTTATTTGAATTTTAAATTTTCAATATTAGTTGCACAAATTTAGTTATACCTAAAATTTAGAGTTACTTATAAAGTTGATTTCGAAATAAAATCTTTAATGTGAGGAAGTACTGATGAATGTTGGTTTTATTAAAGTATATAAAAATTAAATAACTAAAATTTAGAGTTACTTCTGAAATTGATTTCAAAATAAAATCTTCAATATGATGGATTATTGATGAATGTTGTTTTTTTAAAGAATATATAAATTAAAATATAACTAGCTAGTCATTCAAAAATAATTTTTAAAAAAAAATCTTCGAATATCCGAACCAAACCATACCGAACCGAACCGTCTTAATAATCTCGAATACCGAACCGAACCGAACCGAAAAATAAAAATCTCCGAACCGACTTTTTGGTACGGTTTCGAAGATCGAATTTTAGGATCTCCGAAGTTTGGTACGGTTCTGAAAATTTATCAATCTCCAAAACGTACCGACCCACGATCACCCCTACTTGTACCAATAAAAAAAAATATATTTACTCCCCGAATTATACTTGTCATTTTCAGGGCCGGAAAGTATGTACTGGAAATTTATATGCCAAAGTCATTTTAATGAGTGCACACAAAATTTAATAGAATTAAATAAGTAGAAATTCATTACAAAGGATATCACATTCAATTGAGAGACGATGTGAATTATTTTAGCACGGTTTTTATGAAGTAGGTGCGCCCCAAAATTGAAAATTTATGCAATTTTCTTAAATGTTTTTATCGCATTGATGTATTAACTAACTAGTAATCAATGCTCGTATATTACACGGATGCTTGTTAATTTTTTATATATTTAGTATGATACTTTTTATTTGTGTGACTTACCTGTGTTATATTATAATAATTTTTCAACTTACAACATATAACTACATTAAACATAAATATATTAATTGAGAAATAATTTTATTTTTCTAATGAAATTTAATAAATATTATTATGTTTAATTATTATAAAGATAAATATAATTTATTTATTTCATATATACAATATGTATGTCAAACTTTTAATTTGATATATTATATGTGTAAAACTGATAAGAAACACAAAAGTTATCAACTTTTAAAATATATTTATAATTCAATAACTAATTGAAGGGAGCAAATCAAAAGTCATGATATATTAGTCACTTAGTGACTCACTAGGTAAAATTAGAAAGAATTAAAAAGTTATATTAGTACAAGTGATATTAAAATACCTAAGTTAGCTCAATAATATTTATGGAATGTGTGAACCTAGATTATTAATTATTAATATATCAATATTATTTGTCCAAACCTAAGTACAAAGCATAATTCTCCGCCAAATAGGATTCTGAATCACCAGAAACACGTAGGCTCAGCGCGTTCGGAAATTATATAGGGAGGATTGCCAGGGGCGGATCCAACTCAAAATATGAGTGGGGGCCTGCCTAGTTGTTTATAGAAAACAAATATAATTCATCAAATAAAGTATAGTAGAAAATAGACATTCGTAGAATTTCTTATGATTTTTCATAACTTGGTATGACTCTACAGTAAGGTCTTTACATTTTCTTTCGCCCTAAGAATATTATAATTCACCTCAAGTATATTTGGAATAAAAGTAGCTAATTTTAAAAATATTTTCACATGCACTTCTTTGTCAATACTATTTACAAAAGTATTTCTCCGTAATTTTATATAAAAATCTAAAAAATAAATTGTAATGTAAAAATATTTTATCTAATATATCAAACTTTTAAGAGCAATACAAGTTATCAGTCACACATAAATTTAAATATGTTAATTGTCTTTTATGGAACCACATTCAATTAATTATAAGTTTAAATTTTTAATATTTATATAAAAAAGTGACTAGATTTACTTTCACCAAAATAAACAAGAACAATGTTTTTTTTTTTTTCTCTCATTATCCTTTTTTTTTCTCTTCTTTGTGTTTTCATTGTTTTTTTTTATTATTAACCTAGCATTAAACTATTTTTAAGTAGGGTACTAGTTGGCCGGTGGCTGTGCACGCACAGCCGGCCCTAGTCCAATCTATCATTATAACTAATACTCCGGAAAAATTTAAAATATATACCACCTTTTATGGCATTTATAAATCTAGCTTTAAATAACTTAACAACAATGAATAAAGAGTTAAACAATGCAATAATATAATAAGATATTTACCTATTTATAAAAGCGTTAATAATTTTATTTTTGTTTGAACATAATATTTGAGAAACTGAGTTGAAAAGCAAAAGATTAATATTTGTTGTTAAGTACGACAAAGATGTACTAAAGGTCAGCCTTAAAAACTATTATTTCAATTCCATCATGTGCTATTAGCGTAAACTCACAAACAGAGCCTTCAACGATGTTGTTTACGTTTATAAAGTTACGGCATCTATGAGACCGTGACTATATCCATGGCATAGTCAATAGTGCCAACTCTAAGTATGGATGTCGTTGCTTGGATGTGGAAAGGTTGTATTTTTTCCTTAGAAAGCAGCATTGGAATTGGCTAGAAATTGAAATAAGTAATAGGATATTAGTGTTTTGAAATTCACATAATTTACAATTTAATGGCATGCTAATATTGAATATAAAATCCTTACCAACAAAGCTCGTTCAATATGTTTCAATTTACAACCCTTTGTTTCTGTCATAAATGAGCACTTTGAAATGGAATAGTCCTGTGCATTCAAATACGAAGAAGCATCTAAATTTTATCTTTTTTGTATGCACAAAATTACTTCAACCCTCTTGAAAGCACAAACGAAATAGTGAATGATAACGCTCAATGCCAGTCTGAGATTCAAAATAATAAATAGCCATAGGCCAAAATTAGAAACTGATAGCTAAAACAACGTGCCAACCACATCTCATTGAATATTGATGTTTGTGCCCGTCTGTATATTTAGTTCTCTTAGAATTCTAGTCGAACATAAGACTAATAAATATAAGAACAAACATACCAAGATTATAGTCTATTAAAATGTCAACTTTGGTTCTGTATGCAAAGGAGGAAAACTGCAGCTAGGAAAAACAATTGTCACCCCTGCATTCCATCGCATTTTCAAGAGGTTGACAATATCAGTATCACTTGGTTCATCTCCTCCCAAAATCTTTCAACCTAAGCTAATTTAGCTAGTACTTATGCAATCAAGCACACACACTATTAACTACATAAATGAAAATAAAAATAATACTACATCCTTTTCCCACAAACAATCAACAAAATCTCAATTTAGAGAAGCTTCATTTTCACAAATGATAAACCAAATTCTAGGATAGCTTTGTTTTAATGAAGCCCAATCTAGGCATAGCTTTTCGTTTTTCACTAAAAATCATGAAACTTACCTCATCCCGTCAGCTCAAAGACAACACTCAAAATCAAAATACCAAATTAACTATGCATACCACATCTTCACATTTCTAAAAAAATGCAGTGATGTATATTAACATCAACACGAACCATACATTTGAAATTCAAATATCGATCCCTCTTTCATAAGGTTAAATAGGTTAAACATAAAATCCTTTCACCTAAAATAATGCGAATGTTCAATAAAAAGAAATAAAAATATAAGATATGAAACTACTCACATCTATCACTATAATAGTTGT